TAGTCATATAACTGAGTGGGTTTTAAACATACCAAAATATAAATCCCATTGCTGGAATATTAGCTATTAATATAGCAGCTGAGAATGCATACAATTGTGGTAGGCAAAAAAAAAAAAAGCCCCTTCCTTGCTATGCATTATGATATTTAGACAAAAAAAGAAAACACACCTTTTTGCCACAGATGTAAGGAAACTTACTCTGTTGCCAGGGGTAGGTTACAGAGGTAATAAGGGCTTAACCTTAATTATACAAATAGACAAAGAATACAACTAATGAGGTCAGATGGCTCCCCAGAAAAAGGGAGGCGCTGTACCCCACCAAAATTACTTCTAGATTAAAAGATCATCTTATAGGTAATACACTTTATTGTAAATTGACATACAAAATAAGTGCAACAACAAGTGAAAAGTGATAATCACAATCAATTAAAAAGGAGGGAAAACTTACATAACTCAATAGTAGTAACAACCCCTGAGAGTTTGAGTACTTTCCAACAGGATTTCCTTGTAGACCTGTGGCTACTGTAGAGGTGGATTGATTTACATGTGTAGTGCTTCTCCCTTCTAAAACTATATCCCGTTCACTTGCATTTAATATCTTGTTGGTTTTGATACATACCAATCTGGGATATAGCTAAAATTTCATTTTAGTAGCTCACACTGTTTCCATTTGTTACTACAATTGACACTGATCTATGTAGGTTTCCCCTCCTTTTTAATTGATTGTTATTATCACTTTTCACTTGTTGTGGCACTTATTTTGTATTTCAATTCATAATAAAGTTTATTACCTGTAAGATGATCTGTTAATCTATAGGTAATTCCGCTGGGGTACAGCGCCTCCCTTTTTCTGGGGAGCCATTGGTTGTATACTTTGTCCATTATGATAGTTAAAGGACCACTATAGTGCCAGGAAAACATACTCGTTTTCCTGGCACTATAGTGCCCTGAGGGTGCCCCCACCCTCAGGGTCCCCCTCCCGCCCGGCTCTGGAAGGGGGAAAGGAGTAAAAACTTACCTTTTTCCAGCGCTGGGCGGGGAGCTCTCCTCCTCCGATCCTCCTTCTCTCCTCCCCGTCGGCTGAATGCGCACGTGTGGCAAGAGCTGCACGCGCATTCAGCGGTCGCATAGGAAAGCATTATCAATGCTTTCCTATGGACGCTTGCGTGCTCTCACTGTGATTTTCACAGTGAGAATCACGCAAGCGTCTCTAGTGGCTGTCAATGAGACAGCCGCTAGAGGCTTTGAGGGAAGGCTTAACCCATTCATAAACATAGCAGTTTCTCTGAAACTGCTATGTTTGTAAAATAATGGGTTAACCCTAGAAGGACCTGGCACCCAGACCACTTCATTAAGCTGAAGTGGTCTGGGTGCCTAGAGTGGTCCTTTAACAATTAAAGTTTCCATTTTAAGATTACATCTCATGCCACTGCTGGATCCTTGAGGGTATAAGACTGGTCCTGAAAAAAATATAACTAGTGTTGTCGAAAAGTTACATTTGTATCTAATATTGTTTGCTCTAAGAGTTGCAGTAGTTTCGTTGAATTTCCTTCTCACATGTCTAGTCACTGGAGATAAGTCAGGGAATAGTTTAATGTCCTTAAATTGAGGATCAGTAGTGGGCGATTACTGATTTGCTTGCATTACCAAATTTTTTAAGTAACAGTTTGTGAATTTAACAATTATGTCCCTAAGAAAGGTTGAAGAGATGTTTTGTGGTTTTAAATTATGGTGAAATTTCTCAAATGAGTGGTTTTCCAAACATTGAGCTGGTATTAGCGATGAAAAAAGTAGTATAAGGTAATGTTCGAGATTGACTTGAGAAACTGACTCAGGAATTCCTCAGATTTTTAATGTTATTCCTTCAGTATTAATTAATTTATTCTCCAATTTATTATCTTCAAATGATTTGTTTAATAAAACAGATTCTTATTCTCTTCTTCTAATTTATGTATGTTAGAGTAGTAGTTAAATGAGTAAGCTTAACTTTTTGAATCCATTTACAAGGTGGTGTACATTTTTCCACTCTTGCCAACCTGTCTCTATATAATAACTTCCTATCATGTTGTTCTTTCTGTTCGCTCTTCTGGATGTGCGTATTATTAGATGGCATGTCCCTTCCGAAGTCCTGGGGTTTAATTTAGACAAAATCATGATGGCTCCCAGTTGACCGATATCCGACTTCCTGTTTATTGGAGTTCTTAATAGTACTAACAATATGAACCAATTTTTTACTTAATCGAAAGCTTATTTATATGCAATTCCTGAAATGAACCCACCTTTCTGGGTTCAATATAAAGTGCTGAACATAATTGGTATAGCCATTTTAATAAGGGTAGATATCTCTATAATCTTTCAATGTGAACAAACTTTTTTTAATATAAAACAAAAAAAATTGTGAGGGCAGGAATCACTAAATCTATATTTCCCTAGTATAATGGAGAATCAATATGGTATTTATACCACTGTATAAAATAAAGTGAAAAAGAATCTCCTAAATATTGTCCCACCAACACCCAAAAATATATAATACACAAAGTATACAAAAGTATAACGAAAGGAGAAACTTTAAATTTAAACGTTCACACCTGAGTGACTAAAGGTATTGTGACAGACCGCCTTGCACCCTGACCGTGTACCTCCATCAATCGATGCTTCCTAGTACTTACGAGTACCATCAGCACTGCACTGGAACACCATAACCACTGTAAACCCCACAAACCGCCGCAGCTTGGTTAGGGTCTCGCCATCCTCCACCCACCCTGGACCCCAGACAAGGATCCAGCTTCTAGTGGGTAGGCCTCTCCTAGTCCAGAGAGCGTAGTAGGAATAGCTCTTAGAAGTGCTAGTGATTATACTCAGGGGAGTATTGTGATATAGCAATCCCCAGAGTGTATGTAGTTCTCCAATCCCCCAAACATGAGCCAAGACTTCATGAAGGGGCTGTTTAATGGCAGCCACCACTGGCCTTATATACAAGTCCCCATGCAAAGGGCACTCCCAACTGGACCTTGTGGGGAACTGCAGCACCAAGTCACAGACCAATAACAACAATGGTTAAATGCATGACACTCCCATATACAAACATACAATCCCTCCCCTCTGCCCTGGATATAATTGAATCAGGAACTGTACTAATCTAATCCAATTATCTTCAAGCACAGAAAAACATATGTTTTTAAAACATCCCAAAAGTACCCTAACCCCCCCCCCCCCATAAAAACAAAAAAACACAAATGTTACATCCCTTGATAGCCTTGATCTGGGTGACCAACATATCCAAAAATCACCCAGATCAGTTCAGGGGTTCAGGAATTTCCTGGAAGTCTTATTTTTGACCCAGAGTGCACATGGTCCCATGCCCAAAACAGTTCCAGAGAAATAGGTCTAACGGTCGGTCTCTCTGTCTGGAGTACAAAAGTCCATACTTCACATGAACAGAGCCTTTTAAAGTGTATTGGGCAAGGTTTATTGCAGGGCCCATAGTCCTGAGGCAAGAGGCTGGCCAGCAGGCCCTTCCAAGAACCCGTCACAAGGCCATAATCACAGGGTAGGAGGCTGGCAAACAGGCCCAAAAGCCAGTGACGAGGTTACTTTCGTCACAGGTATAAAAAACCTACACAATATATATTAAATAATAATAAATACAACCTGATAATAAAACTAATAGTGATAAACCCAAAAAAGAGAAATAAAATACAATAATGTAATACAGCTACAGATATAAAGAGGATGGAGAAGGAGGTAGAGCACTGCCAAGATGGTGTTTTTTTTAAATTGTTTTTTGTTTGTTGTGCACAGTATAACAATAACACTTGCGCTGCCACGACAGCAGGAGCAAGCACGAGTTCAACATAACATTATTAATGTGCTATTTTACATGGCATTAAGTAAAACAGCACATTAATTATAATGGGAAACAGAAAAATGCAAGCTACTTAGTATGTCACACAAGTGTAGGAGATAGAAAAAGGCTATTATACAGCCTGTCTTAACAACAACTGGGCCTATTGCCTGCAGTGAAAAAGTAGGTTGAAGCAATTCGTGATATTTTGAGATGGTATAGGCCAAGTGCCTCTTGACATGGTGGGAAGGTGGCCAAAGTAGATCTACATTTTCAAGAGGCTAGTACCTACAGAGTGACAAGTTGGTATTCCGGTATTGCCAGTGGGTGGGGGGTGTGATGAGGTGTTAACCTCGAGCCAGCAGGTGGAGTAGATTATGTACCACCGTATATTGTAGATAGAATTAGGAGTCATAAAAGATTAGTGTAAAACATTATTTAAACTGTGGAACAGATGGTTATGAGCAAAACGGAGCTAGAACGGTTATTGGGTAAAGTATCTATGAGTTCTTCAGGATATAGCTGCCGATGCAGAGTTGCCCCTTTGGGCAGCAGGCACAAAAAAGCAGACCTCAGCTGGATCCCAAGCGTGTGGTTGTGGCACTTGGGTTGCTGGTAACATACTTTCAGGTGTCGATGACAGTCCCAGTTGCTGTAGGGTGCTTTTAAATTCCAAGGCCTCTTGGACTTTTAGATTCCCAGAATACCGAGGTATCATCAGGCATTTTGGGGTGCCCTATTTGTAAGGTATATTGTTTTGTGTTAGCTTTGCTGTCAGCGCTCTCAATGACATGCGCCAGACCAGTGTTGCTCTGGATAGGTCTGGATAAAACCGTAGCATGTGCCCTTCAAAATTGTATGGTGACCTATCCGGCCCATTTTGAAATCGGATGATGACATCCCTTTTCACCTCAGTGGAGCGTGATAGAGGTGCTGGGAGCCTGAAACTTCCATCCAGGGCATCAGCTTGGCCTGTTTGGCTGAGAAGAGGTGTGTGAGTAGTCTCCTGACTAGGTGAGGGATTTTGACTGTGCCGATCTGTTCTGGTATGCCTCTTATCTTGACATTTTTCCACCTCCTGCAGTTTTCCAATGCCACCATGCGGCCCTGAGTCTAAACCTGTTAGCGCCGCATCTCTTTTAGCTCTTGTTCTAGGTTAGTGAGGTGGGACCTCGTAGGCAGCAGTGGTTAGTTCTGCGTCGCGCAGGCGCCTCAACACTGCACTGATCTCCTCCTTGAAGGAGTTAATGTCAGCCCCTATATTATGGCGGACGTTGTCCAGGAGGGCCATCAGAGCTCCCTCTGTCACTGGGGAGCTCTCTGACTTCTTTGCAGGGATTTCAGCTCTCAGTCTCCGTGCCATGCTGTCCAGTTCCTCCATATCTGGAAGGGAAGTTTCACTGGAGGAATAAGACAGCCTGTCAGAGAGAGGTGCCATGACAGGCTTCACGGTCCCTTGCGGCCCTCTCAGCATTTCTCCGATATCAGCGGTTTTTGGGAATTTTTCTGCTTTGTACTTCTTGGTTTTCCACCCCATCATTAGTGGTAGCTATTTCTCTCTCTTGGCGATCTGCTGCCATGCTGGGAAGGCAAGTATTTAGATTTAATTTACTGAACGGTCCGGAGCTCTCTCAGGATGTGTCCGGACAGTATGGCAGCTGGCTTCACCCTACTCACCAAGATGGTGTTTTAAACCGGTGCATGCAAAAAGTTTTATCAAATGAGAAAATTGTCACTAATCCCCCTGGTTAGAGAATGCCCCAAAAGGACAGTTCCACAGAATAAGAAAAAACTGTACAGATATAGATATGTATAAAGAACAATCCTTGGAAATTAAGCAAGATTTTATACAGAAAGGATGCGAGAAAGAAAAATTGGAAGGGGCAGGAATTGAAATAGGAAAGATCTGTTAAAATATAAACCAAAAGAGGGACTGAGCCTGACAGCCAAGATGGCCAGTACTGCTTTTTGAGAGCTCTCACACATTGGAGCATAAAACAAGCCTTTTCTGCTTAATACAGCAACAGACACAGCTCTAAGTGCTCAGAGGATCGATCAGTAATCACTAGGGAACACGGTGATATCCATTTGCTGCCGCTAAACCACAAGACTATGCGAGACTGTGCGACCATGAAGCGGCATAGTCCGTCACGAGGCCTGATGTACGGGGGAGGTGGCCACTCTCCCGACACGGGTCATGCTCTCAACAGAGAACACACTGGTTCCCCGCTGCCCCCCCCATTGACCGGTGGGGGATATACCGGTCCCCACTGGGGATACTAACCTCATCACCACAGAGAGATCTCCTGCAGCCACAGGACCTCCCTAAGATGGCTGCTGAGCCGCCACCCTTGTGGCCCCGAGAGAGCACAGTAAGCAATGCTATTTGCCCCAGTGAGCAATCTGATATCTCTACTAAACTGGACGCAATGTTTGTGGAATTTTGGCTAAAATTGGCGCAACACATGCAGAAGCCTGCCACAGTTTCACATAATGAAGACCCACATCGGAGTTCCTATGGTGTGCTTAAAATGGCTACCGGGCCAGCTCTCCAGCGCAGTCATGGACGATCGCAACATTCTGCATCTCATGCCTACCCATGGAGTAACGCAGCTGCTGGGACTGCCCTTTTTTCTTCTGGGCTGGGGGTCCACTAGGGAACATACCCAAGCCACGGTCCATATACCCAGAGGGGCTACAGAAAATTGAAATTCCGTCCAGGCCTTCATAATAGAGCTGAGACAGCTCTAAAAAACGTGTGTGTGCACTTTTGCCCATTTGTACTCCTTTCACAAAAATCTACTGTACTGCACCATAATCTGATCTTGCTTTGTACTTATAGATTCATGTACTAAGAATATCATCTATATCGTATGTATATATAATCTTAAGAGCTGATCACCTCCTCTCTGTTAACCCTGCCGCATATAGCAGGGGGACCTATTAACACAAGCTTGTGACCACCCTTTTTAACCTGGCCTCGAAGATCTGTGCGGTCGCGGCAATACCACTCTGGAAACCTTCGATGCCTAACGAGCCAGCGTTCACCGTGGAGTTCCGAGGATACAGGAGGCTATTCGGCATCCAACACAGTAATTAATGCTCTCTTATGGCTCGCTAGTGGTGTTGGATGAACTGCAGCAGAGTATATTACCCAGAGTATATTACAGCGCTGCACAGTGATGACTCCCCTTGATATTATCACTTAGTTTACTAAGACCCAGTGGTATATAAACAAACAGTCTGTCTAGTATGTCACCTATCTACTGTATAGCTGGAAGCAACTCAGTTATGTAGTATTTTTTTCTTGTTTGTTTCTATGCATCACTGTATCGACTAGCCTGTTATTCCTAGCATAAAATACTCACATACTTACCTTGTGTAGTAAATCTTATTCATAATCGCCTGCCTAAAGAAATTTGCTCTTGTACTTTATCCTTAGACTTGATTCTAGACAGACACACTTAGCATGTTATCAACCTCACACAAATGTTTAGCTTGTTCACTTTACATAAAAATGACACAGTCTGCTCAAGAGTTAATATGTAAAATATATATATATATATATATAAACCAAAAGAGGAACAAAATAAAAAAAATGGAGTGTATACCATTTATATGCAATTACAGTAGCGACAATAGGAAAGTAGGAAATACAATAAAACGCCACTGGCTTATACTACAAAAAGATCCCATTCTAAAAGATATTTTAATGGAGGAGCATTTATTCATCAAGGAGTCAGGAACATCAGAAGTAAATTGGTAAAGAGCCATCTGGAGGACAAAAAAGTAAATTTTTATTTAATAAAAATATAGGATTTTATAGTTGTGGTCAACGTGCAGCCTGCAAAAAAACAAGCAACCATAGACTCATAAGTAAAGATTTTAATTCAAACAGCCATATTTATAATATTAACCCCTTAAGGACAGAGCTTCAAAAGCTTGTCTTTCACTTAATGACAACAGCATTTTTTTCATTTTTTGCTGTTTGCGTTCAACTGCAATTTGCATTTTACTAATTTGTTGCACCAACACATATTATACATCGTTTTCTAAAGGACAGAAAGGGCTTCAATTTGATGTAACACACATATATATAAATGCTTATTTATTATAAAAAATACAGAAAAATGTAAAGAAAATGAAAATTTGGTGGTTTTTTTTACAGTTTTTGCAATAATAATGTGTGCATAATTAGTGCAGGTTAAGAAAAGTAATTAAAAATAAATTAATTTAGTTGTTCTGATTTACAGAATATATAATGTGTCTGGGATTTTAAGTTTTTTTTGGTAGTTACAGGTCACAAAGCACAAGGAGTAAAATAGACTTTTAATGTGGAGCGATTTTAGAATTTGGTATGTTTGTCTTGTAAGCTTAATAGCCATAAAAGAAAACAAAATTGCCACACAAAAGTATATATTTATATAAAGTAGACATCACAGGCTATTTACCTAAGGTTGTTTTGACACTTTCTACGTAGCCATTTCACTGCCAACCTCTGCTAAATATTGGAGTAAAATTGTGTTTTTTTTGGTTTTTGGCACACAAACTTATAACAAAGAAATTCTCGTCAGAAATATATATACAAAAGGGTGTGGAATAAGTGGCGCTGTATAATACGTGATATAGATTAGTGAGTATTAGCTGCTATATACACTCTGTGGGTACTCCTCAAAACCCACCATACATAAACACCAAAGAACACAAAGAAAAACTTAAGGCCTTACTGGTGTTTCTACCTATTACGTCCTCAGTTTTTAAAGAGTGCAGCGCTATCTTATAATGTGAGGTGAAAATGTGTTTTTTAATAATTCAAAAAACACTTACCCTCTACAATGATCTCAGGATGGTATATACATAAAAAGAAACAAAAATACAAATATACAGATAATAGTGCAATATGTTACAAAATTAGGTAAAGCAATATGTAAGTGCCAAATGTGTCTAAACTCACATAGAAATTCTCGTGTATATTTTGTAAAGTTGGTGTGTGCTAGTCCTGTACAAAGTTTTATTTTGTGTTCAGTTACATCTGCTGAGTAAAATGACACCCCCATTGTATGTCTTTGGCACTATTTTGTGAAGTTACAGTGCCATACAGGATACCTGTCCTTTTCAGTATTCACAGTAGAATTTTTAGAGATGGATTTAATGAGCCTTAGCTTCCATTTGGGGTATTATAACAGTTTGACTGTTCAAAAAACCCCACAAAGGCCTATCATTTGTAAAAGTAGACACTCCAGGGTATCTCATAAGGTGCATATTGTGCCTTAACATACCCCCATTTCATCACCAATATATGCCAAAGTATGTGGTAAAAAATAATTTTGTGCATTTTTTACATACGGATTGCATTTTTGCTGGGCGTTTTGTATATTTCATATGTGCCACTAAGTTCAAACCTCCCAAATTATGCTCAGATAAGTCTTCTGAGTAAAAAGACACCCCCAATGAATGTCTTTGGCACTATTTCGTGAAGCTACAGTGCCATATAGGAGACCAAGCCATATCCGTTTTTACCAGACTTTGAATTTTGACGCTGGGCCTATGTGCAATTTCCAAGCATCTTCGCAGGTTTTAAATTCAAACTACCCCACAAAGACCTACCATTTCTTAAAGTAGACACCCCAGGGTGTTTCAAACGGTATATTTTGAACCTTAGCGTGGGATCATTTTTCCGCTAGCTTGTACCAGATGTAGTGGTAATAAGCGTTTTTTCTGCCTTTTTGACATACAAAGTGAGTTTGCACAGTATATTTTGCAAACCTTTTGTGTGCTACGACTGTATAATACTTCATATGTTGCTCAGCTATGTCGGCTGAGTACAGCAATACCCCCGTATGTACCTTTGCCAGGTATGTGTGGACATCGGAGGGGCACATTTGGGATACAGCCATTCCAGTTTTTTTCAAACTTTGAATTTTTATGCTGTGCCTATGTCCCATTTTAGAGTATTTTACCAGGCTATATAATCCAAATACCCCATAAAGCCATACCATTTCTTAAAGAAGACATCCCAGGGTATTTCAAAAGGCATATTTTGAACCTTAGCGTGGGATAATTTTTCCGCTAGCTTGTACCAAGTGTAGTGGTAATAAGCATTTTTTCTGCCTTTTAGACATACAAAGTGAGTTTGCGCAGCATATTTTGCAAACCTTATGTGTGCTATGACTGTATAATACTTCATATGTTGCTCAGCTATGTCGGCTGAATACAGCAATACCCCCGTATGCACCTTTGCCAGGTATATGTGGATGTTGAAGGGGCGCATTTGAGACGCAGCCATTCAGTTTTTTTCTAACTTTGAAGTTTTATGCTGTGTCCATGTTCCAATTTGGAATAGTTTAGACGGTTGGTTATTGAAACTTCCCCACAAACACATACTATTTATTAAAGAATACACTCTGGGTTAATTCAAAAGGCATATTTTGAACCCTGGCGTGGGATAATTTTTTCTCTAGTTTGTTCCAGGTGTAGTGGTAATGAGCGTTTTTAAAATGTATTTTTTTACTTTTTTAACTTTTTTACTTTTAAAAA